TATTCTAAAAATAAAATACAGGGTATTCTATCTAAAAAATATAAATTTTTATTTGCCAGGAAAAACGCAATACCCTGTATATCCAAAAATATTTTTAAAATATCTATTTTTCAAATCTATATAACTTTTATTAGCTTTTATTAGATTAAATTTGAAGTTTAAAATTTACTGTTTATTCATTTTTGAATTATCGTCAAAACCTAAAGTACAGTTGAAAACTACAAGTCGAAAAAAAAGCAATCCTATACTTTACTGGATACATGAAAGTTAAAACCTAATTTGAAAAAAAAATACATTTAAGCATATTAGATTTGTATGAATATTTGAAATATTCAATTTTATAAAACAGCTCAAAGTACCTACCATTAACACCTAGGCTCCAGTATCCAACAAAATAAGCAAGCAATAAATTTTTACCATCTCCGTACAGACATTTTCCGATCTCAAAGTATACAGTTGAGGCTTTCTCTCATTACTTACATATCCTTCATGCTCTTACGCAAATATTGAATGTCTAATTCTTACAAAATTAAAAAAATCGAATACAAATCAACTTAATAATTGAAATGATATACATATTAGTAAACTCCTAAATAAGGACCTGCATATTTGAATTTATTTTTATTTTTATTCAAGACGACTTTAGCGCCATCTATTAGAGAAGCTCCGAATTAACCTGTGGCTACTGTATGCCTACTGTATGCAGTTTTAGGAAGTTTTCTTTTATATTTTAGGCAATTATTACACATAAATGGCGATTTATAATTTATTTCAAAATTTACTTCAATGAGCTTTTAAGAAAATTGACGCAATTAATTTAGATATTTTAAGTGACATTTGTTGCTTTAGTATATAGCCTATTCAAAGAAGAATTATTTTCATCATCGGGTAATTATTACTGGTATATTTTTAGCTTTATTTCATCGTAAAAATTACCATATTTTGGGAATTATTTTTAAACGATCCCTTATAGTTAGACACACCAAAAACCTTTATTGAACAGTAGTATATATCTATTATCGGCAGGAATTTTTTCAGTTTTATCTTTGTTGTAGTTTCAGCTAAAAAGTCATTGAAAGAGCGTTGTGTATGCCTATGTTAAATACATTGCCCACGCAATGGATGTTAAAGGAACAAATAAATAGAGAACACCATATGCTCTGGTTGGAACTTCCTGGACTTGGACAGTCCAAAAGATTCATAGAGAGGCCATTCACGAGCAGACAAAATCAACTGATAAACCTTAGCAGAAGCGAACTCAAGGCCGTAATAGGACTCCTTACGGGACACTGCGGCCTTAGAAGACACCTAAATCTCTTAGGGTTATCTGATTATTCCCTATGTAGAATATGTGAAGAGGAGGACGAAACTCCTATTCACATACTATGCCACTATCGGAACCTGAAATGGGAACGGGAATGGTACTTCGGGGTACAATATCCGAAACCTGGAGAAATCGCGAAAGCGCCCATTAGACATATTCTTGAATTTATCAAGAAAATCAATCTGATGGGATAGAAACTGTGAAGGGTACAATAATCCTAGAGCTTCAGTACAAGTGGGCTTTGAACCACGCCCTAATTCATATAGATAGATAGATAGATAGATAGATAGATAGAAATGAACGGTGATTATGTGAAAAAGTAAAGTAGATATGGTGTAAAATATTGCTGTCAATAAAAACCTTTTCTCTTCAGCTTATTTTTTTAATTCACCAAACGGACCTTAGTTTTGGAAAAGGCCTCGTACAATAAATACAGAATAGCCACATTTATTAATTTTAACTTTTTATGGGTTTGCAGATGGGGTTAACACCCCTTTAACCTCCTAACTTTTTTTAGAGGAACTTTTAACTAAAAACGGAACGCCATTGGTACAATTTATGACCAATTTTTTCAGAATTCCCTGTATTTCTTGGTTTAACTTGATATAAATTAATATTTTGAACGTACCTATATAATAATTCAAAATAAATTTTTCTTTCAGTCATCATGTCTGGACTAAATGAATTTGCAAATTCAAAGTTTGTTGACGAGGCAATCAAATGATTTCTAAGCAAGCAAGAGGCCTCTAAAAATTGAATACCTATCTAATTATCTGTTTATTGGCAACGATTTGAAAACATCGACAAAATGTGGGTTTATTTTTCGGCAATTAAACCAAAGAAAAATTGCTTTTATGTTTAATACATAAATTCAAGTTGTGTACCTATATACTATATAATTTAGGTGTAAAAATTAAATAGAAAGCTGTGATAGTCCAATTTTTCTTTTAAATGCAGTATAATATTATTAAATTAGGCTATATTAATGATGACATAATTTGTGTGACAAACAGAGTTGATAGTGACAGTAGACATAGTTAATTTTTTGAATAAATAATATAGTTCACCCAATGAAATTCAAGGTCATTAATGCCGCTCCTAGGGCGCAGTGGCGATTAGTCTGTAAGGGCTGTAGGGCTAGAGCCCCCTAGTACAAGGGCAAACCGATTTATATAAATATAAAGTGAGAGTATTATCAAAGTATATTAACCGTTGAGTAGCGACAGCTGGGGAACCGAATTCTAGTGCGCCGACGCGAAATAGAGAAGCGAGACGTCATCTAAAGATGTAAACAACCCCTTTCACTTTAGTCCGGCAGCTGATATAGGAATTCGTTGTCGTGGATTTTATAGTAATCTTTTATTGTGTTTTTGTTAAGATTTTTTGGGGTTTTGTGGGTTTTTCATTATGCCAGGAAATGCATGTGCTTATCGACCTTGCTCGACAAGGTCTGGTTAACAAATCACTGTTTTCATTGCCAGAAGAATATGAGTGGTAAGTACCTTGAACTACACACTATATTTGATATTTATCAAATAATAATCTTATTTTTATTGGAACTTATTTGTGAAAATTTGATGTGAGAAGGACTATTTCGTATATTTCCTATAAAATCTGCAGGATATACAGCATATGTACCAGGCATAACAATTATTATAAATGGGTTTTTTCGAGGGTTTCTTGTTTAGAAAAGGGTTCGTTTTATACCTGTCATCAGATTTGACACTGACTTCCATATTGTTGTATGAATAACTTGTCAAATCAGATACCTCTGTCAAACACTTTAAACGTAAATTAAAAGTTTTGAGTAACGGGGCGCATTATTAGTCAAAAATTGTATTCAGCGACATGTTTAAACAAAGCGAAATTTAAAGTTTGAGACAACTCGATTAATAAATAAGAAGGCCCATAAGTAATAATTTCTATTGTTATCAAAAATCAAAACCCTGTGCACCTACCAACTTTCAAGTATCTAGCTCATCCGGATGTAGGTAAAAAAAAGAAGAAGAAGAAGAAGAAGAATAAGAAGAAGAAGAAGAAGAAGAAGGATGAGCGATGAGTGTCCATGCTTCATAACATCCTACACGTGGGTACTAAATAATAATTTACATTTAAAAATTGCTTACATTTTCTAATAATAAATCCATACATTCTAAAAGCTTCGGAAACTTTGACTTTAATATGATTTGAGAAGATTAATTTGGCATCAAAAATTACACCTAATTCCCTAATAATAGAACATCTCTCCAATTCATTATCTCCAATCGAATATGAGAATTGAATATTTTCTCTTTTCCTAGAGTAAGTAACTATCTTACATTTTTTAGCATTTAGGTATAACATATTTGTCTTACACCAGTTATTAATACAGTTCAAATTTCTCTGGATCTCATTGCAGCGATCTGTATTCTTAATACTTGAGAAAATCTTTAAATCTTCCGCAAAACACAATTTATTACAACTAATTTCATTGTATAAATCATTAATAAATATTAAAAATAGTAAAGGCCCAAGATTTGAATCCTGTGGTACTTCAGATGCAACTGCAATTGATTCTGATTTAAATCCATTGTAAGTAACGAGTTGCGTCCTATTTGTTAAATATGACTTAAATAAAGCTAAAGTGCTGTTAGAAAAACCAGTCTCTGAAAGTTTTGAAATTAAGAAGTTATGCTAAACTCTATCAAATGCCTTCGAGAAATCGGTATATATCACATCCATCTGTTCTTGGTCATCTAATACATCTGCAATAAATTGGGTAATCACAGTTAAATTTGTTGCCGTTGACCATTTGTCTATAAATCCATACTGATATGGTGAAATGTAACTTCGGAAAAATGGATATATACGAATATACAAAACGGCCTATAGTTTTCTAGCTCAGACTTTATCCTGCTTTTAAATATTGGGCATATTCGAGCTTCTTACCGATAAATAAAAATTTTTGAAACGAGGTTGTGTTAAAATTCTGGAACAATCCTTATCTTATTTTTAAGTTTACCAGCATCCACACGTATTTCTTTTTCACAAAATGCTGATATATTTATTGTCATGGGTTGCGTGCTAATATTTCCTACTAGTTCATCAGGAATATCAGAATCAGAAGGTAAGTAAACCCTTTCAAAAAATGATTTGAATGCATTAACTATACCTTGCAGATCACTGAAAATAGTACAAAATAAATAGCGAAAAGAATAACGAATTGTCTAACTGTAGGGGTGATATTATGACAAATACAATGAATTTAAAATAAATAAGCATAAGTCGTATTTTTCCATTATCATATTTTTTCAAAATAAAAAATAAGATTACTTTTATCAGGGATTGAACCCGCGTAGCTAAAATAAAATTTGTTAAAGTTGAATACTTTACTCTCTAGACTATAAAGTCTAATGCCAAATGAATTATATAATCAAATTATCTAATGTTAACAATTTAATCATCAATACGATTTTACTATTAATATGGACATTACAAAGATCAAAATACAAATGATGAGTCTGACATATTTGACAGCTGATTCGGAAAGTATATTCATATTCGCACACGGGTGGAAAATAGATTCTTATCCACACGCTTGTGGTATAGGACCCTTCCTTCCCATAGGATTAAATAGTGAGATATGTGTCACTTTTCTAAGTGGTCGTAGGAAAAATATATTAGATTAAAGTCTTACCTTGTGTTAGTGTTTTGATAAATTTAATATACTCAGGCACTTTGTGTGAAGGAGTTAGTTGATTTGGTCCCGTTTTTAGTAGAACAGCAGCTGCTTGTTCAGGAGTCAGTCCATGTTCTTTATCCGTTTGAAATTTTCGGCAAAGGTCATCTGAAATTGAAATTTAAAAATAAAATTACAAAATAAGTTATTTATATTCTATCAATAATAAATAAATAATTATTTAGGGAGATCAAAAGTTAAGACATCCATCAACAGGACATGAAAAATATATTTCTATTAGCAAATCAACAGATTATTTTTACTATACATAAATAAAAAAGTTACTCTGGATATCTATTCATTCATTCTGCTTCAAGAAATTCTTGTTGGTTTATTTATAATTTCTATTACTGAATTAAATGTTGTAAATGGCAGTCTTTGATCGTAATAATACTCTCCACTAACTTTTCAGTGTGGTACATTCCGCGACCACACTGTTTTTTATCATAGTGGTTATCAGTTTAGTTTTGTGCTATTGCTACGCTAGCCAGGAAGATCATTGACAATATAAGTATCAAATCTATATTCTTTGACAAAGTTTCGCCTCTTATACAAACTTAAAAACCATATGTAAAAAGGGTACACTAAGTTAACCTTCAGCCAGTCAGAGACATAACAAGAATGGATTGGCGCCCATCCAAGAAGGATACCAATTAATAAAACTAATAATTAATGTAAATATAAATAAGTTTAACAAAATAAAGCTTTGTAAATAGCAATTGAAGAACTCTCATTATAAAAATATAACAATCTAAAAATCTTATTTATAGAAAATATTTTTTCAAGTAAAGATCAACTCCTCACTCTCAAACCTATATCCCATCAATTTTGGAGTCTATCAGGACAGTGTCCTTGGACGTTTCTTTTACCAAATTTTTACCGCTGACATACCAGTGGCAGAAGATATTGTAATAGCAACGTTTGCTGATAACACAGCCATCTTGACCTCCGACCTAGAGCGAGTCACATCATCAGGAAAATTACATATGTTAGACCAGTTATAAACTTAGTTCTCTCGCTGAAAAAACAATACTGATAAGTCTACCCAAGTTACATTTACCACAAAAATAAATACATGTCCTCAAGTTACCATCAATAACGCTTCCAACTCTAATCACAATCACAGTTAAATATCTCGGACAGCATCTAGACCAAAAACTGAAATGGAGACATCAAATCAGAGCTAAGAAAACGCAATTTAACATCAAATTAAGAATCTATACTATAATAGTTAGGAAGAAGAAGTCACAGTTGTCACTAGAAAAACAAACTTTCAATTTAATAAACCATATTGGTACCTATTGGGTCATATGGTATCGAGCTATGGGGATGTGGCGAACCATCCAATACCAAAATATTACAAACATTCCAATCGAAAACGTCACAACCTTTGATAGCAGATTCACCATGGTATTATCATCCACACTGACGTCAGAATACCTTATCAGAACACACGTCATCAAAGCAAAATATCGTTATGCTTTGCACAATTCCCAAACAGCAAACTCTATTAAGCCCCTTAAGCAAATAGAAAATTAAAAATATTTATCACAAACAGTTTTCTTATTGAAGCGTGTTCGTTTTTAAGAAAGTGGGTTAGTTTGCATTTGTAGTTTTGTCTCTGTATAGTGAAGTAAGTGTCGTTTATTGAGTGAAACAATGTTTTATTTTCTGCATTTTTAGGATGGTTCAAGAGTGTTTAAAATAGCAACGGAACCAGAATTAAAGTTACTAATTGCAAGTTCACTGGCAAAATCTATTTTTATACAGCCAACCTTCCATCTTTTAATAAACACTTTCTAAAGCAATATACTTGTATATTTTAATGGTTCCACCACAGAAAGGTTAAACGATTCCAATACTCTAAATCAATAAGGGTTATGATTTCTTTGGCTCCCTACAAATTTTAGAATAAATAGCTAAATGATGATAATAATAATATAACAAAAAAAATATCTAAATCTTCTGCTTCTTTTCTTTTTTCTCGTACTTGGACCTTCTGATTTACCTCCTGACTTTCTATACCTCTTTCTCCTGTTGTACTATCCTTCCTACGATGATTCCTGCTATGTCTCCTGCTGTGCCTCCTGCTATGTATCCCGCTATGTCTCCTGTTTTCTTTTATAATTGTTGTAATATAATAATTTCAATTACCTTTTCTTTTTAACTTTTTTTGTTTCATCTGCCTCTCAATACAATATAAATAGCTAAAATTATTAATCTCTTATTTTCCCTTGACCTCATGACAATTTTTAAAGGATCTTAAATATCTCATGCAATTTCCATAATCCCACTACCATTGCCGTTAGAACCCTAAGGCTGTTCCGATTAACTTATCGACGCTAACGATGTAGAGCGAAAACATGACAAAAAAGTCCAATGACGGAATCACGACAATATATTATTGATTTTAAAACAAAAAAAGGTTTATTTTTATTTATATTTTGACATTGACAAATATAGTTAACCCCTGTAGATAACCTGTCGTATATTGCCTATTTTGCTTTTAAATTTATGGTATCTACTTAGCACTAATAACTAATGGTAACATATTCTTCCATTGGAAATTGAATGGATTATCTACAATTATTACAATAGCATTGGATATTCATTCCATCAAAGAAAACGTAGTGTAATTAAAGGTGTGGACGTTATAGCCTGCTCTAGAAACTAAATTGTCTAGATGAATGATGGTGACCTATTTTTCCTCGAGGCAAAATGGATTAATCTATTTACCATCGTTAGTTAATTAAGTAGAACTAAAGGTTATCCATTGTTCATATCTGTTATAATATATTACTTGAAAGACGTAAACAACACTGGGACTTTTATCGATCTTTAATATAGCGATATTGTGAAATATCCAGAAATTTAATAAATTGGATAGCTTCTATAGCTAAACATTCTGATATAATATTATATAAATGACAAGACAGGCACTGCGCCTAGGTTTTTTGTTTGACTTTGTGTCCATCTAAACTAACAGTTTGTATTATATTAAAAAAAATGTACTGAATTGGATACCTATTATACCTATAAACTAAATAAAGCTGAAATATACAGGTGAAACCTAAGTTAACATTTTTTAAGTGTGTATTAAAGTCGTTAAAATAAACATTTTTTTCAATTCACTTTTTCAAAAACTCAAAAATAAAAAAGATACAAAATTAAAAATGTAAATCGGGGACTGGACCTGTGTATTAAAAATTATGCTAAATAAGAAATCTGTATGTTTTTATCTTTTTTTTTACAATCATACTTCATTGTGTACCGGTTATTGTAAGTCAGTCATATGAGATTTCAGTAGCGTGTTTATCTGAAGTAGTGAAATTAATTTGTTTAGGTTGATAAATTACGACAGCAATGACAAGAATTTAGAAAAGTAATTTTCAATACCGATTTTCAGTATACATTTGGCCTGTTTAAGACGGGAAGTGTGAGAATTTTTGTACACATTACTTTTCCGAATAGGTGGATAGGTCGAAAGGAAGCAGTTATGTGGCCGCCGAGGTTACCAGACCTAAATCCTTGAGATTTTTTCTTGTCGGACTACATGAAAACTTAAGTTTACAAGACGTCGGTAAACACACAGGAAGAATTTATTGCACGCATAGAGCAGACTGAAGAAACAATTACCCGCCGTTACGGAGCAGTGTTACGTCGAGCAGAGTGCTGTGTTAAAGGGAATGGTGACAACTAAGGCTGGTAGCCGTGACCGGTTAACTGGTAGGACCAAAAAACCGTTAAAGAACGTAACCGGTTTAACCGTAACCTGTTTAACCGTAACCGGTATAACCGTAACCGGTATAACTGGAACCGGTTTAACTGTAACCGGTTTAACTGGAACCGGCTTAACCGGAACCGGTTTATAACTGTATAACTGTATTTATGTGTACCAGCCACATCAACTTCCAGTGAACGGGTGTTTTCCAGTGCAGGAAACATAGTTTCGGCGAAAAGAAACTGCTTCCTGTCGGAAAACGTCAATAATAAAAAAATAGGCAGTTTTGTTATTAGGTATTTGTTATTATTTCTTATTTTATGTCCCAATTATAATTTATTTTTGAATATTTTTTAAAGACAGTGTCCCTAAATGTCTCTTATGATTAAAATTTCAAATAGGTAAGCATGTGCTCTAAATTGCTATTCAAATTGTGTTCAGAACTATCAATTAGGTTGGCCTCCGGACGCCACTGGACTTAATGAGGCTTACATTATCCTCTAAAATCTAATATTTTACCCATGTATAATAAACTATTTTTTTCTGTGACTGGAAATGACGACTTATTATTGAAAAGAATATTCTAAAATATCTACCTTTACTTATGTGTATACAGGGTGTTTCCGAACTTGGCGTCCAAATTTGTAGGGGTGGTAGTTCGCATAATTTGAGAGCGATTGGCAGATTTCATTTTTATAAAAAAATTACAATAAACAAAATAGAGCCATTATAAAAAAATCAAAGAGCAGGTCCTACCCTGAGCGCGTAGCGCAATAGTCCTCAAAAACAGATGCGATTTGCAATTTTGTCGATTCTAAGCGTAGCGCGCGCGAGTCGAGGCATCCCTTCGCTGTGCAGGACCGTACCTGTTTATAATTTTTAATTAATTCTTAATTATTTTTATTTTAAATATTTTGGAAAAATGAAATCTTCGAATCGGTCTCAAATTATGCGAACTACCACCCCTATAAATTTGGACGCCAAGTTCGGAAACACCCTGTATATAGGGTGTCCCAGTAGTGTGTGGAAGTTCGATATATCCTATATTATAGAAAATATCAAACAATGTATTTACAAAAGTTGTAGATAATATTAATCTGGACATTTCAAAATTATTTTCGATTATACAGAGTGATCCATAACTTCAGAATTTATCAAACCTATGTTTTTTAAATGGACCCCCTTGTATTTAATTGTAAATTTGAATTCCCCTGTCTTTGCCCTTCAAGAAAATACCAACATGTATGAGGTTATACTGGGTATTTTGGAAGTTTAAACCAATTTTATATGAAAATCGTACTAGGTTCAACCCTCTGTATATTTCAAAAGAAACAATCGAACATCAAAACTTTTTAATGAATCATTTTTAATGATAGTCTACTTTTATAAGAATATACTAATTTTTTTCCTAGCGCAACAGACGTGTACAGGGTGAGTCAAAACTCAGATAACATGATTTTCTCAATTTTT